AGGTTCTTCAGGAGACTTTCTAGGATCTCATGAAGATCAGTAAGTGCAAGCACTGAACAGACATGGTCCTTACCGAGTGAAATAGTAATTCTAGAATTCTGCCATTAGCCTCCTGTCCCTCCCCACTTTCTCTGCACCCTGGTAGCTGTGTGGGCTTTGGATTAGAGCTGTTTGTCGAGTGTGAAGGATGTCGGAACACACCTAAGTAACCCTTTCCATTCCGACTGATGCTGGAGAATGGCATCAGTCAGGTTACGTGATCCCAGGCAAAACCTCACCAGTCGCTGGCAATTTTCCCACCGTCTGCAAGGTTTAAACAGACCCTGTCACTCTGATACTCAGTTTCAGTCCTCCAGTTGTCACCACAGTCAGAGCTTTGAACTCCTGGTGTGTGAATGTTAGTCTCCAAGGACTTTATGGAAAATGGTTGCTCTTTTTGTTCCCCGTTCCTTATTGAAGGTACTTGGATATTAAGGATTATGTTTGCGGTGCGGATGAGTATTCAGAGCTGCTGACTGAAGTTGCGTATTAACACTGACTTTCTGACCGCCTTCTGTTTTTAACTGTAGGTCAGCTGTGGACTCATCGTGGTCGCCTATAAGAATGGCTTCCCTGCACATCCACACTTCATGGATCCCGATCTGTGCTCGCGGTACTGGAACAAGTGGCTTTTGCGCCTGGAAGAGTACCTGGACAGAAACTGACCCAAACTGAGCTGTGCAGAGGCAGGTGGACTGAGCACAGGGCCAAAGCGAGAATCCTTTGTTTAAGTCTTCCATTTGAATACGTATTCTTTTTTCAGTAACTTTGGCTAATTTCTTAATAAGAGGAGTTTTCCCCGCCCCCTCAAAAAGAAAGAGTTGGAGGGGGGAGTGTGTATTTGCTTACCTTGGAGGTGACTTAGGTGGACCCGGCAGGACAAAGCCGACTTAGTTAATGTCTGGTTTTCCCCAGGGAGTTTATACGACCTGAAGTCGACAGGAAAGTTTCTGTTGTCCAGTAAAACTGTTCAATCACATGACCCTTCTTTTGTCATTTTTGAGGAAAAAACCTCGCAGACTTTGAAAATGAAGTTGGTGAACTCAAGCAAAACATCTGCGTTGTCTGAGCTGAGAGAAATGCAAACGATAAGCAAATGAGTGTAGTAGACTGGGTTTCAGTCAGCTTAGTCCTGGCTCGTCTCAAAGGTGTCTATTAACAGGCTCGTTGCTATTTGTGGTTTTTCTTGCAGCAACAACTGGAAAAACCACGCTGGGAATTACAAACGAAGTGCTCATAAGCACTGATTTAAAATGCTATGGCAAAGCGATCGTTCAGCAGAAGTGGCTTAGCAAAAGAGGGACAGGACTGTAACCAGTACTCTGACACCTCCAGCGAGTGTTCTGAAAGGTGGGAAGTTTGCTGCTCCTGGCTCCTCCTGCAGGTCGCCTAACAGGCTGCACGGCCACGTCGAAGGCTGAAGAGTGCAAACGGACTTTGTCCCTTCGGTTGGGAGGCTCCGTGCAGCCCAGCTCTGCAGCTGTCTTTGTCTTTGCCCTGGGCCGAGCCGACAAGGCTCCTACCCACGGGGAGCCACCTCCAGCGTCAGCTTACAGCGTGTGCCAGCGCGAGTAAGTGTCTTTGCAAAAACAGGCTTGTGTCTCGGGCCTTCTGAGGAATGAAGAGCTGCTGGTTGGGTTCTGGGGGGTTGTTTTCTTGTGGGCTTCTCTTTTTTAAGTAAGTTTGTGAATAAATGTTACAAAACAGAAGTTACTTTTGAAGCTCCTTTTGTAAGATCAAGCCTGTAAGACACAGAATAAGCCGTGATGATGTCAGGCGTTGTGCACCCAGAAAGCTTTTTTTCTCGTTCTCTTTGTTTTCTCTGAATTCTGAGTTGACAAATGCATGAGTTTTCCTAATACTGCTGCAGATCACCAGTAAAAATACAACCAACCTATAAGCTTCAAGAAAATCAGCCAGAACCATACCTAAAAACCCCAGTGGGCAGGCTTGCTGCTGCTCTGTCTTCTGCTGCTCCAGAGAGCCCAACTGTGGAGACCCGTGCAATGAGACGTCGTTAGCATGGTACCTGCCCGCTCAGACCTGGCCTGGTGAGGTTACTCTCAGCTTAATGAGATTTCCATCTAAGACAGACGTGGAGACTGCAAAGCAGGGTTTGGAGGTGACTAACCCAGGGGATGCTGCGTGAGCACTTGGAAGTTCTACCTGTTTGACGAGGGTGTTCCCACATCACAGAGTTTTAGCAAGAGGGTGGGTCGGCGCCACCGAACAGGGTCAGTTTTGCCTCCGTGGGTGCAAAGCGGGTGGGCGAAAGCAAGAGGTAAGATGCTCTGGGCAGAAGCAGGAGGTGATAAAAAAACCTTCCACCTAGTGGAAGGTGTCCCTGCCCATGGCAGGGGGGTTGGAACTAGATGGTCTTTAAGGTCCCTTCCAACCCAAACCATTCTGTGAGTCTAGGATAAAATGTGCTGAGTTCCCTGTCGTCATTGAGAGTATGGGATGGTTGGGCAATATTTGGGATTGCCACCTTCATCCGTGTGTCCTACAGCCATTGGATGTCTGAACCATGTAAGATTCCCCCCTCATCCTGCCCTCGGAGCCTGGGCAGCGCAGGAACCTGCTGGCTTCGCCTGTGTTCCTGGTTGAGAGAAGCCCTGTGGCTGAGGAAAGCTGCCATCAGCCTGCCCTTAAGTCTGGCGTGAGTCAGTGCCGCCGGGAGAAGGCGGGCAGCCTTCAAAGGCAGCAGAGTGGAAGTTACTGGTGTCTAGGATGCTGAAAGTCTGGCTGCCTCCGGCATCCCTCTGCGAGCCCTGGAACGTTTCTGTAGAGGCGCCAGCTAGCGCCAGTTTTGTTCCGTAACAGCTGGCAGCTGGCCATGGCCCGCGTCACGCAGACTCACACCCGTGCCCTGACTAGTCTAAACTGACTTGCCAGGCTGTTACGTGGACGTGCCCGAGGCGCCTGCTGCAGGGCGTATCGGTCTCTGTAGGAAAACCAGCCAGACACCCGGGGCAGTTACGCCAGCTACGGCGTCCGTCTCGTCGGAGCTTCTCCCGGCCGGGCAGTTCGGTGTTTGCAGGCAGGTGAGCTTTGCTCAGCGAGCCCGTGACACCGTTCGCTTACAGGGGCATGATCGCGGAAGAAGTGGGGATCGGTGCCTAGGCTTTGGGGGTTTTTCTGCAAAGTAAGGATCTTCTCACTCACTTCAGATGTTTGTTTTTTCCATGGATTTCCCATTTGTTGAAGTATTCTGCCAACTTCCCTCTTACATAGGATGACAAGTTTGTTCTTTACACAGTAGCATCACTTTATTCTCATTTTCAAGGTCCCAAGCACCAACAATTCTGCTGAATAAGGCATTAATATCATTTTAAAATGCTTTCACACCCCTAGAAGCTTTCCCTCACAAAAACACGAGCAGATGCCTGTACAAAATGAGGCAAAGTGAGAAGATTTTTACGGTTCCTGTGGGGACGCTCAGAATCTGCCAGTGAGAATGAAGGTGCCAGCCATGACTCAGGATTTTAGGTGGGTTACTTTTCAGCTCTTGCTTCCGTGTATATAGAACAGAACATATTCTCCCCAAGCGTTCAGCTTAATTTAAGTGTGGAATGAATTTTTGGAATTTACAAGCAAAATCCATTAATTGCTGCGCCTTTCCATGAATGTAAAACCTGGTTAGCAGCTGCGTCCGTGAAGTTAAGAGGCAGATGAATAACATGCTTGGACCAGCGTCCGTTGCGGTTGCTGAGGAAGTCACCGCCCCACCGCTCCCAGTATCGACACCCAGTAAGGGCTGCAGCATCGCCTGAAGAGCCCTAAAGCATCGGGCACTTCCAGCAACATGAGTTATATGGGCATCCCTCTTCCCCTTGTTCTTAAATCCCTATAAGATGGTCCCTATAAGCTACCCTCTTGGTTGTCCTGGGTCAACAGGACTATAGGGGGAGTCCTAAACGCAGAGGGATGCAGCACCAGTCCCTCATGGCCATGGCCTTCCCCTGCAGCATCAGTCTCGCCATGGGCCTCCTAAACTGACAGCGCCTACCGAGAGGCCAGATTCGGGCCTGGTTCTGCAGGGATCTCGCGAGGCCGGGACGGGCTGTGTCTCCCTCTGCACCGCATTGCACCGCTCTTGTATTCGTGAATGGGCACTCGAGCGCTAACAAGGAAAAGGTATCCCAAAACAAACAGACACACGCATACGCACCATAAAATACACGCAAAATCGCATCTCATCGCGACGGAAAAATATGTATCTTCAAGTCATTCAGGTGTTTTCTTTGGGTTTCTGGGTCGGTATCGATGTGTGTTAAAAGGACGTGGTAATAATCCCCGAAGCGAGCGCGACAAGGCTGGGAACGTCGGAGTTGAGGTTTCCACTTCGATCTAAACATGACAAAATCAAGTTCGCAGCCTGAAGTACGTAAAACACGACCCCCAGTCTGCCCTGGGATAACGCCATCTTGGGTAGGGGAAGTTCGGGAAGAAAAAGTTCTGCATCCTTTCAAAAAGGATTCTGCTCCCCTCGGATCACGCTCCCATAAATCATCAGTTGGCCGCGCTGGGAGCAGGGTTATTTGCACACTTACTTACTGACACACTCCTGTCCCTAAAACCATTCTCACTGGCTTCGCAGAGAGCGACGTACCAGCAGCCGCCCTCGGACAGCGTTTTTCACCCAAACCTCTCGAAAGCGGTTCTTACAGGAGGTAACTCTCGGTACCCATTACAAAACACACCGGGGAAAGGTGAACTCATTTGTCCGTGGCCACGCGGGCGGGCGGTGGAGCTGAAGGAGAGAACAGCTTGCCTGACGGGCGGGTCAGTAAATACTCCATCCAAGAGGTGACATTCCAAGCCCGCCGTCGGTTTTGGCCAGATAAGGTCCGGTGTTCGCATCGCCTGCGGGGATATTTCTTTCAAGTTGAGGTTCTACCCACATCGAGAGGGCGCCGTTAGCAAAAAGCATCCCTTTTATTTCAGGGGTTTCAAGATTGTTTTAAAAAAATAATATATATATAGATAGATCTAGTCCTACGTGTAAACTTCATTCCTGTAATCCATCGTGTCACTCGTCTTTGTCGTCACCTTTGGAGTTCCTCTGCAGGACAGGGCTCAGTTTGTTCTGCAAAACCGCAGCGAGTTTTTTGGAGGTTTTTTTCAGGAAAGCGCTTCCGGGGTGAACATTACTAACGTGCAGGTACAGGTCCTCCTGCGTGGGGCCTGTGTAGCCGCAGTCTTCGCACACATAAAGTTTGTCCCGCCTCTGTTTGTAGGCGTATTGCTGCTGCACGCCGTGGATCTTCTTCAGGTGGGATTCCAGGGAACAGCGCTGGGTGAAGGCTTTGTTGCAAACCTCACATTTGTAAGGACGAATTCCTGCAGCGTTAAAAGACAGCGGTTAGCGTTCTGAGCCGACCCAGGAACCAGCTGAGAGCGCGCCTCTGGCCTGTCAGCTGTTGAGCAAATACCCAGCAGCAGGGAGCTACTAGCCCAGGGGACAATCTGCCTAAGTAAAACATCTTCCTTTCGGGCTAAAATTTGCCGGAATGGGTTGATAATATTTAGGAATAGAAAACCTAGAAACGTTTTGAGGGGACGTAGGCAGATGTGGAGGATAACAGGCGCCCATTGGTGCTTTGGTCCTGCAAAGGAACCCCTTATCAACTCTTCCAAACTTAATCCTTTAAATAACTCCCTGGCTGGAAGTCCGCTGAGTGGGTAAAACGAACTGTTTCAGCTAACCCTTGGCTTGGGCCTTTATAATGAGCGAGATCCTGCATCTTGGTAACATGCTGATTTTTCTCTTTTAGGGAGCAAAGCTTAACGGGGCTTCAGCGAACGGCAGCCCAGCGTGAACATAGAGCAATCGCGGGACTGCAGACGGGTGAGAGCCTTGATAGGGAGAGAATATGGAATATGGACTACCCAGTGTGGAACAGGACAAAGCACACGTGTTCATACAGGGGTAACTTTGGAATCGGATGGTGTTGAGTTCACCTCACTGATCTTTCTCCTACATATCCAAATGGATTACAGGTTCCAATGAGCAGCATCTTGACTGCATTCTGCCAAGCCTTGTAAAAGCAGGTTATCCCAGTGCACCAGCTTAAACTAACAAGACTGAAGGGACCTTAAAGACCATCCAGTTCCAACCCCCCTGCCATGGGCCGGGACACCTTCCACTAGACCAGGTTGCTCCAAGCCTCAGCCAGCCTGGCCTTGAACACTTCCAGGGATGGGGCATCATTTTAAAATTTGATTTTACTGTGTATATTAGTTACTTTTTCACATGTAACTCTGCTTGTGTTGTGAAGCTAGACTGGGATGTTTGGCTTCTGCTCTCTCTGACACTCTCTGGTTACAAACCCTGCATGGCAGTTTCCACTGAAACACCAAAATTCCATAAAGCACACGTAGATGTGCACCTGTAGCTCCAAAATAAAGCCCACACTACCACTTCCAGCCCATTCGTCGTCTTAACATTCAGGTACAGCCCAGCTTTCCTGAACAGCAATCAGCTTTGACATAAAAAGGGCCACTGCTTTCAGAGATCCTTCGGCCTGGAAAGGGCGGATGCCAAAATGCTCTCGGTACCCCGGCCGCAGCCAGCCTGCCTCAGCCAGCCTGCAACCCTCCGTGACCAAGGCACCAGGCAAATACAGTATATGTGAGTATCCGTAGTGGAGAGGAGAAATAGTGACACCAGATCTCTCCTAGTAAATCTGGGGGCAATCTAACCCCAAGGTTCTCATTCCCAGAGCAGCGTTTTTCACTCCTGTCCGGTACAAAGAGCTTTGCTCCCTTCCAGTCTTGCATAATTGGCTCTAGTCCTGTGTAGTGACTTCAGCTCTACAGGCTACGGCGTACATATACATTTAGCTTCCGTTCGGAGACCCTCTTCTATTTAGTTTCTGAATCTCAAAGGACAAGGGGACGGGTTGGAAAATCACTTATTCCAGAAGCACCGACTCCGTGCTTCAGCCACATCCCAGCAGCAGCTCCCTGCTTGTGGCCAGCAGCTTTCCTTGTCACGCGAAAGCTTTACAAACCAACCAACACAGCCCAAAGCACTGGCTCAGCCAAGGCTTTCCCACCAACACGGGGGGCATTGTCCGCATGAGCCCTACAGCTACGAAACAGCTCCGGCCCCCCGACATACTGGTGTCACCTCTAGCAGGGCACCTGGTCGGTGGTGCCTGAACCGGAAAGGGACGATGCAGAGTGAGCCCGAATAATCGGCAGGTCACATAGGTAATCACAGATCTGGAGAGTGGGAATGTGCCTGGGAAATGCATCTTCTGGGTGCCCTACGGTGCAGATTCAAAGCCTCTGAGCGCAGCCAGCTTGGCCTGCCAGGAGGGGTTGTAAAAGCTTGGTGGGGATGGGGTTGGCAGTTATTTAAGCCATTGCTTCCACTAAGAAGAAAGAGAAACAAAAAGGCAGCCTTCTCTCTGCCCTTCTCTCTGCTCCAGGTTAGGACAAGCTCTTCCGTGCCCAGGAAGCTGGATTTGAAGCAACCGATCTGATTCAAAGAACGTGACCGCTGCTATGTGGGGTGGGCTCAGGAACAGACCCGACTGCAGAGTGACCCCCGAAAGTGCATCCCTCCCACCCGGGGATGCGATACAGGAGCCGGACTGAGCAGAGAAGGGAAAGAATCATAAAATCATAGAACCACAGAATGGTTTGGGTTGGAAGGGGCCTTACAGACCATCCAGTTCCAACCCCCCTGCCATGGGCAGGGACACCTTCCACTAGACCAGGTTGCTCAAAGCCTCATCCAGCCTGGCCTTGAACACTTCCAGGGATGGGGCATCCACAGCTTCTCTGGGCAACCTGTTCCAGTGCCTCACCACCCTCTCTGTGAAGAACTTCTTCCTGTTATCTAATCTAAATCTCCCCACATCCCCGGAAGGGATGATTTTGCTTTCTTCCAGTGCCATCATGGGCTTAAATCACAGCACCCTCGGTTATGCCTGTACATTCGGTGGAGATGTGAGCAGGGAGGAGGGAACTAGCCCAGGTTAAAGGCGACTTTTTCACCCTCCCTCAATCCAGAGCAGGAACTGCTGGCAGGAGATTTCCAGCCTGCTGCTCCTGATTTTCAGCCCATGCTGAAGTTTAGGTTTAGGCCAGTGGACCAGCTGGTCTGGATGGCCGGATATGCAGAGGGAAACAGCTCCGACGGAGGACTAGGGGAGCTGGTGGCCTGAAGCAGGTGGGGATGCAGCGCGCACGGAGAGCAGAGGTCAAACGCATCGTCTAGTTTCCCTAAAAAAAGCTGGAGGCACAGCATGAACCACACTCTGATTTCTCCAGACGGTGCCAAAATCAAGCCATTTCCCCATCCCGCAGGACAGCCTGCGGGGATGGTTCATTAAAAAAAAAACAAAAAACACCACAAGAAACTGCTGCTCGTTGCCTCTAGAGGGCAAAGCATTTTCATCCACCGCCCGCCCGCCCTCACCGGTACACGCTGGACTCCCAGCAGTGAGTTATCCCCGGGGGGTTATCCTGGTCTTGCTGTCCCAGGCACAGCAGCACGCGGCCACATCTGCGCTAGATCCACTTCACAGGGATTTCACCAGTGCTCCTCAGATTTCGTTGGTGCCAGGTATCTGTCCA